GATCCGGATCACCTACCAGTGACCGCTCACGAGCACAAGCTAAGCTCATCTGTGACCTGTGACTGCCCACCGGCACAAACTCGCCAGTGGCTACACTACTCACCGGCACCCAACACCCAACAAACGCGAAAAACTCACGAGGACGTCATATTGACATCAAAAGGACTCACAAGGAAGGTCAAAATTTAGGCCGAAACTCGGTCATTTTGAGGTTTTGTTGACTTAACTGACCTCTTCGTGACAATTTCGTGTTCTCTGGGCACAAGCTCGCCAGTGACTGTTCTCCCGTCACACTGCAGTGACTGGTCTCCGGCATCGGGGGATCGCCATCGGCACTTCTCACCTGCCGCCGGCTCGACCGATTCTCATTTTCGCCGTGACACGCCGGCCGGCGAGGCGGCGTTGCGAGAGGGATCTCCCCCCCCCCCTTCCTCTCCAGCGGCGCAGAGAGGGGCTGAGCGGAAGAAGAAAATACGAAATCGAAATCTCGGCGTTGTCGTGTCGCCCGCGGCGGAATCCCCCCTCCTTCCCCCCCCCCCTCTCACAATAACACCCTTCTCCCCATCCCGGCCGGGGGTCGGTCCGACCGCTCCTCCTGCCGCCCCCTCTTACCCCCCGGAACAATTCGCCGCGTCTCCCGTTTCTGACGACCCTCCACGCCCCGCTTCCAGGGGGCGAGGCTGCCGCTGCGACGGGGCCATCGCAGTCCACACCTTTGCCTTGCTCGGGGGGGTGGGGGGGGGGTTCACCCCCTCCTTCATTTGAGGACCTTAACCTGCAGACTGATTCCGAAGATTTGAAGACCTTAACCTGCAGACTGATTCCGAAGAGCGCTCAAAGGGGAGCTGCCCCATGAGTGCGACAAGGATGGAGCCATACGGAAGGTATAGGAGAGCGCTCTTCGGAATCAGTCGGCTGGCCCATACGCAATGTGTGCTAAAAAAAATCTTCTGAAAGTTGGCAATACGACGTCTTTTCGGGTATTAGCCCAAACATGTACCCGCAGTACATAAGTGACCCTCCCTGAGGTTGTAGACTCAACCGCAACCCCTAAACCCCTGTAGTTGGTGGAGCCCGCTTTTCACAGTCTTCTGCGCGGTGCTCGGAGTGTCCTAGAGTGTCCCCTCCCTTCCCTTCCCTGCGGTCATGAGCAGGCGGGCGGGCGGTCTGGTCCAGGTGTTCCCCGAGGGAAGTCCCGCGGGCCGGGCGGACGCCTCCGGCCCCGCCCCGCCACCAGCCCCGCCCCGGGGGAGAGGGCCAGGGGATGGACAGGGCCCGTCCCCAGGGCGGGGGCAGGGCGGGGGCAGGGCGGCAGGGCAACGCGCTTGAATGCCTCTCGTTTGTCACTGTCGCGAGACATTAGCCCATGCACAGCGGGCGCAGGCGGGCCGGGGCCGGCCCGGGGCACTCACACTGCGAGCAGCTGATCACGGCGGCGTTTTTCCCTCCCTACATATTGGGCTTCCCGTTGTTTCCGCTCCGCCACCGACGCACGAACATCTCGCCTCAGCGCAAAGCCGACGACGACGTCGTCACCGCTTCCCACCTGCAGATGCAAGTGTAACCGACTCTTGAAGGACTTCCCGCGGTGGACTTGAACAAACTGCGAGGCGCGGGGGTGGGAGCAGCTGGGAGGTTCGTGGATCAAAAGCACTGAGATAATTTGCGAAAAATTTAATGTACATCATCAACTGAGTCATAAATAAACGTCATATGTGACGATTCTCGGCCAACAATGTATGCTTGCAAATGAAGAATTATGACGCCACAATATGTACGTGTTGAGCACCTGAAAAACTACGACATGGCATTTGCAAACATATGTTATTCTTCTGCCTGTAAGACATGCGATTTTTAAAACTTGAATTACACATATGATGGTAAGAAAAGCCACATCCACTTTGACAAATTTAATTTGATATTGAATAAAGTCCTCACATTTTCTGGGGGTTTTAATTCTATTCTAATTGAAAGTAATAATTAATATGTAGGTAGGAAGTTGTGTAACTAACAAAGCCAAACTAGCACATAATAGAAATGTGAGCGTAGAAGCAAGAGCAATAAGAAAGAATTAACAAGGGGAAAGGCAATGACAAAGAATAATTTTACAAATGTAGGGAAAAGTGAATAGATGCTGTTCCACAGTATACAGTGAAGACTTTAATCAAAAGCCACAGTGATTTCTTGCTCCTACAAGAGTCAAACTTAATCCTTTATTTCACAAGAGAAATAAAGCTTATGAAACCATCAATACATAAATGTATTACAAAGAATCAATCAATGCACCTTTCTAGGCATTCCTCAAACTATAATCTAAAGGTAGTTAATTAAGGGAGATCTAATTTAAGACAGTTCATGTCATCAAGTATTTGTACAAATACAATGAGTGCATTAAATAATATGCAGTAAATCTTACAATCGCCACACATTTACATAAT